CATCAGATTCAAGTCTTTGATCATCAGTCATAGTAGCAGGAACTTCACCAGTTATAGCCTTAGAGACTTTCTGTTGAACTAAGACCCCTTTTATTTTTTGCTGTTAAATGGGAAAATCCCATTTTAAAAACTGAAAGATCAAACGTTGTAGTTGTCATTTGAAGTTTTTAATGAACACAAGACAAATTTTTGAGGTCACAGTTTAACAGAAATGCAGAAATCAGATATTTTAAAACCAATAGAATATCACACAAACCATAGTGTAACATAAAAACAGAAAAGAAATATCTCTCAAATCAACAGGTCAATAAGACGGTGAAAACTGATGTGAAATAGAATAGTAATTGTAAGTAAAATAATATCTTCAGTGAAAACAACACAAAGTCAGAAAACAAGCAGAGAGATAAAACCAACTAACAGTCACGATAATTCACAAATTCTAGCTACAGTGTATGAAACAGATTAATGTGAAAATTCCTCCAATCTCTGATCTTAGAATTCACAGGATTCCATGAGGTTCATGACATCAGGTCAAAGCTCAATCCTTAATCACCAGAGAATAAGAGGACTTAACAGAGGAAAAATAGGGAATTAATCAATATTCAAGATCAAAGAACATGATAATTAGAAGGGGGTTAGAGAAGTGTCACCAAGCCAGCACCAAGAAGTGTTTTCAGGGACTCTGCAAGACTCAACAGCTCGAAGCCCAATCACCAGCTTGTTCACCAAGAACCAGTTTCCCTCAAGAGAACACAAATAGAAAAGCAAGATTAGTAGCCAAATCAAAACTAAGGTTTTACTAATTTCAGATCGATAAACGGATGTTGCCTGAAAATTAACTTTCCAGTGACAATCACTCGATCGAAGGTCCCTTATGGACTCACAAACGCTCTAATACCACTTGTAGAGCAACACTAATGGAAGCAGAATACCACAGTACATGAACAATATCAAAATACCAACATCAAAAGAATTCTATTATCACATAGGGCTCAGAAACATTTCATTGTACCCTTCTGTACAAAGAAATGGCCACAAAGACACCAAGAACCCCTAATTATCACACAACATAGCTACTCAATGGCTCGAGATTACACATCTAATCTAAACAAATACAATTCTCAATAGAAGGACTACAAAGGAAACAATCACACAAATATTGAATCTGAATTGAGAGAAGAAAACCATGAAGGAAAAGAACCCAGAAGCTTCTCAAACATGAAGGAGAGAACTATAAAGAAATTAAAGGATAGATTCAATATGAAACTATATTGAAGGAACTTGATGAATAAGATATGAAGAACACTTATTATTCATCAAGCTCAAGTGAT